CTAACGTGGAGAGAGCAGAAGTTCCTTCTCCCTTATAGGTGCCACTTGGGCAGGAAAGGCAAAGGCAGGGACACGGCAAGGGCAGGCAGGGAGGCTCCCACAGCCGGGAGGAGCAGGGGGAACACCAGCTGTCCCCCACTCGCTGCTCACACAGCCGGACACTCCCAGCGCCGTCAGCGCGGGGCACAGGGCTCGGCGCGGGGGAGGAGGCAGAGGCTGCTCCAAACGGGAAGGGAGAGAGGCCCAGGAGCAGGGATAAGGTGCGGCCATGGCACGGGGTGGTGTTCCAGCACTGCCTCGTCCGGGTGGGTGACAGCGGGGTGACTGCAAGCAGCAGCCAAAGGGACCGTGGCTCACTCGGTGGAGAAGCGCCGGGCTTTGTCCCGTGCAGCCTCTGCCAACACTGAACTCCACACAAGCATCCTCCAGGTCCCCTCAGGCACAAATCCCACTTTTCCCAGCAGGACATTTCCCCGGAGTCACACATCAACAGCCCTCTGGGGAGATCAGAAGGTGCACCTATTGCCCTCACCCCCAAGCAAACTGCAGCATGTGTCACTCCAGCAAGGGGTGAACCAAACTTGTTCCCTTGTCACAACACCCAGGAGAAAGGACCTCGCACAGCGTCCAGTGAAACCCTGGAAGGGCCAGGAGAGGGGAGGAATAGCATGAAACTCAATGGGCAAAGATTGAGCTTCACAAATTTCCACTGGCATCTCTTTCTACAGTTTCCGTTGCTGAAAACAAACCCAAGCCATGGGGAGGTTTCTGGACTGTTCACACTGTCAGTCTGGAAAACAAGCTCACTGAAGCTGGGTAACTCATGCACATCAGCTGGCAGGAGGCACCTCCAGGAGTTCTGCTGCTGACTGTGCTAACACCATTCGATTTAAAACACTTACAAAAAAACTTCTGACCAAGAAATGGAGAGGGGAGGATGTATTTCAGAAGCACAAGCTTATCCCAGGGAAAAACCTGAACTGCCATGCCAGCTGCCTCGTGTTGGTAATGGCCACATCGATTCTGCTCTGCTCTTCGTTCCTTACCTCCAGTGATGATAGTAACCAGACCCTGGAGCTGCAGGGGTGACTTCCCAGCCCTCAGGAAGCCAAGGGCTTTCGGCTGCTCTGCCGCAGCTCAGACATCACCCGTCCATCTGGCCTGTTGGACACGGCTGCCACGCAAACAGCCCAGGCAGCAAAACGGACGTTCATCTTTTCCTTCAGTTCTCAGCCAAATTCTTGATTTTTTCTCAGGATGAGTCTGCACAAAAGCGTGAGACTCTGCCCAGTGAGAGCAGAGGCACAGACACAAACTCTGCTTAAACCCCTGCTACAGAGGCAGAGACATTTGGCAGGTGTCTGAGTGAACCCTGCAGACTGCAAACCCCGTATCACAGCATCTAAATCTGCCAGAGGTGGTGTGTCAGAAACCTCAGTAAAAGAGCTAAGTATTATTCTGGTTTTTTAAGGGAATTTAATGTAGATAGAGATCTCTAGGAATTAAAGTTTTCAGCACCAACTATACTAAACTCTCCTGCTCACAACTGAAACTACCTCTGAAATGTTAAGGGACATGGACACACAGGACAGAGCACAGCTTCACAAAAAGGACGAGGTGCTGATCTCCAGTGCTCAGGTGCTCCCACCAGATACTGGTCTGACACCACCAGTCCAGGTCACCAGGCTTGTTTGCTCCAAGCCCAGTGAGATCTGGTGATACAGAAGGAAGTTTTCTTGTGCTTGCTGCTACTCTCAGACTTATACTGTCAGCTTAAACACTGAGCAAGTGTTTTATAACAACCTCCACTGTTAGGTATTGAAGCTGAGTAAGAAAGGAGTTCTTCACAAATAAACCAAAAAACCCATTCCTTTAGGATTAGGCCCTGTTATCCTGCAAATAAAGTGTGATGAAATGTTCATGTTGCAGCTTGGAGTGCAGGTGTTACACCAGGGCATAGAGCTGGGTGAGGGAGGGGTCAGAGTTACAGTTCTGCTACACTGAGAGTTTAATTGTGGGGATGATTTTTACCTTGGCATGTCTCTGAATTACATATATGCAGGAGATTAACCACCTTGCAAGACAAACTGGCAGCCAGAGCTGCTGCTCTGCCCTCAGTGCATCCTGCCTCATTTCTCAGGGACCCCTCCTTGCTAGGAAACTTTTCAAACACAAATGGAGGCATAAATGACTCCAAATCTGTTTGTGTCACCGCAAACTGACTTTCAGTTGCAGGCAAGAAAAAGAAAAGGAAAAAAGACTGGAGGCTAGATGCAAACATTACTATTCAAGAGCCCCAACTAACTCAGCCCAGCTCGGAGCCCTGGTCACCAGCACGCTGCTCCAGGAGCAGACAGGAGCTCAGGAGCATGCAAAGTCCTCTGTCACAAACACACAGTTCAACCTGCAAATCTGCAAACATGTGATCTGCATTCCTTTTCACATAACAGTACTCAGACATACCCCAAATGGGGTCATTTGGGCCCATTATTACAAGTGCTCTGCAGAAGCCCCACTGACACAGTCCTGCCCCGACTGACCACGGCGCTTTAGGCAAAGTGTGGATGGAAGCAGAGCCCAGCGAGGGGCAGAGACCAGCTGGGCAGGCAAGCCCATGTGAAAAGAGCAGAGAAACAGAGCTTGGTCAGCTCAGGAAGAGAAGACAAAGTCTTCAAATGCTTCAAATTGAGCTGCAGAGATGTACGGAGTGGAGTGATGGAGGGATGTAGAGTGTTCTCCACGTGCTCTGGAGCTCAGAGAAGGAAGAGGTTTAAAGTGACAAAGATTTAGATTAAACACCCCAAAAAACCTCTCTAATGGTGAGGAGGCCCAAGTGTTGGCATACATCACCTGCACAGGATGTGGAATTGCCAGCAGGAAGAGCCTTATAAAAAGAACCATTACTTGGGAAGGGTTTAGATGTGTGTGCCTGACCTTACTCAGGGCTGGAAAAAATGAGGACACCTCTGGAGGTCCTCTGTGTCTGAGGCCATGAAACAAAGTTTCAGAGATTGCTTTAAATTAGACATAGGGCAGGGACACAGCTCCCAGAGCACTCACACCCTAGACTGAAGCACAGCTACTTGATGAATAACATCACTATTTCATACCCCAACAGCATCTTTCACTTGAAGACACCTAATTGTCCTGCAAAATTCATTAAGTTTCTAGAGAAGTGCGTCAAGAGTTAAACTTCATTAAAATTTTAGGCACAGGAAAAGCAGGGGCACAGGCTCAGCACTTGCAGGGGGTGCCACTGGGCCTCCTGTTCTAAACTCTGCATTTGCTTTCTTTTAATTAGCTAATCACCTGATTTATTTCATACCAAATATTTGACTGAAAAGCAGATTATCAAGATGCAGAACTGTCACTTGCTGAGATGCAAATACCAAACCGGGAGGACCAAGGTGTAGCATATCTCTCTAAAACAAAACAGACTCGAACCTTTAACTAAATAAATCCTTTAAATAGCACAGAAATACCTGCATTTCCCTTCTGCCCTTTTGTAAGGGACTCCCTGATTTCCATCTGCATTTTCATACCATCTACTGGGCAGATCCTGAACTACCTGCTGGCACATGGAGGCCCTGCAGGGCTGCAGCCCGTGGCAACTTGACCCAAGCTGAGCCCCCCACAAGCCCAGTTTTATTCCCCATATTAACACCAAGCACAAGACAGTGCCTGGGATGAAGCACCATCCCATACACCAAATATTCCTAGCAAGTGCATGGGGACAGCACAGCCTGGCCAGCAGAAGTGTGAGGATAAGGAGAGGAAGGCAAGAGGAGGAGGAGGCCCGGCCCAGCCCAGCCCACGCCGTTGCTCAGGCGTTGAACCGAGGTGGGAGAACATCTTCCCCCAATATTACTGGCTGCGAAGAGCAGCGACCACATGGCTGTTCGCAGCCACTCAGTGCACGCTGTTTACTATAAACAAAAACAGTAAACAGAAACTCAGCCAAAAAACCAAAGCCGGGGACCCCGGACCTGGGTCTCCATATCCTGACTTTCCCCATGGAAATAATTAGTTTCATATTCAGCCGCTGAACCCAAACCACCCGAGGCCCGAAGGAGCCAAGCTGCTCAGTGCATCCCAAACTCGGGCCGCCTGTTTGGATTTGCCAGCTCTGCCTTCAGTCATCCAAACTGCTGCCACAGTTTCACACGGGAGCTTCAAAGAGCCTGCAGATTAAACCTGCGCGGCAGGAGCCAGCCGACACCGGGGTTATTTTTAAACATCTCAACTGTGCACGAAACGCTCGAATGTTGTCTCGCTCCCAGCTCTACCCCAGCACCCGGCTCGGGGGGGGCTGTGAAGGAGGCGCAGATTTTCCCCAGGGATGGTGGTTATGGGGTTTCTCCGGCAGGTCCCGGGGGTCGCCCCGACACCTCCAGCTGCAGGATCCCGCGGGGGTCCCGCTCGGAGCACCGGGGTCCATCCCCGCACCCCCGGGGTCACAGGACGGTGTCACTGAGCCCGCAGGGCTCGACGGGCAGGAAGGGCACAAACCCCCCGGGCACAGCCCGCAGGCGGGGGCCACCCCCTGCAAACCTCCGGCAGCTCGTCCCGCTTCCCCTTTCCTGCCGGGAGCGTCCGGCCGACACCGAACGGCGCCGGGGCCGGGGGAGGCTCCGGCCGGGCCGGGCACCGCTCCGAGGCCTCGGGGCGAGGCGACACCGCGGCTGCCCCAGGCCCTGCCCGGGGACACCCGGCAGAGTAACAAAGCCCTGGAAGCGGCGTCCCCGGGAGCCACAGCCCGGCCGGGCAGCGGCGGGGCCGGGGGGCCCGCGGGGCGCTGCCTCAGGCCGGGGGGGCCGGGGCCGGGCGGTCCCCAGCAGGTGCGGGCGGTGACAGCCGCCCCCGGCCCGGGCACCGCGCGGAGGCGGCCGGGCCGCGCTGACAGGCGGGAGGAGATCCGGGCCAGGCTGAGGGCCCGACCCGCGCCCGCCCCCGTCGCGCCTTCCCGGGCCGGGCCGGGCCGGGCCGAGCCGCCCCCTCACCTGCGCGGCCGCCGAGCGCTGGCGCTGCTCAGTCCCTCAGTCCCTCGCCGCCGCCGCCGCCGCCGCCATGTTCGCGCTGCGCAGGGAGGCGGGGAGGGAGCGGGGGGAGCGGGAGGAGGGACCGGACAGCCCGGCCCGGCCCCGCCGCCGGAGCGGCTCCGGGGACAGCGGGGCTGGGGGGGCCGAGCGGCCGGGCTCGGCTCGGGCTCGGCTCGGCCCGGCTCACGTTCGGCTCGGCCCTCACAAATTCCGCCCTGCCGACTCCGGACTGTCCTCCCTCGGGGACAGACCGCCGTGCTCGCTCCGGGCTCGGGGCAGACCCTCAGTGTCTTCCCTGTGCGTGGGGAGGGACCCCCGTGTGCCCACAAGGGCCCCTCTGGGACGGGGCAGACCCCCACCGTGATCTCCAGCCTGGGAACAGCCCCCCCGTGCCAACTCAGGACCCTTTGCACCCCCACTGTGAGCCCCAGCCTGGGGACAGACTCCCCCGTGCCATCCCAGGACCGCTGGCGCAGGACAGACCTTCCGTGAGCCCCAGCCTCGGGATGGGCCCCCCGTGCCCACCCAGGACACAGGGGCAGGGGGCAGACCCCCACCACGATCTACACACCCAGAGTGGTGCCCCAGTGACTGCCCAGGACCCTCAGGGCATAGGGCAGAGCCCCACTGTGACCCTCAGTCTGGGGATGGACCCTCTGTGCCCATGAGAGACCCCCTGGGTACCGCAGAGTGATGTCCATCCATGTCTGGGGCCCGCTGGAGACGGCCTGGCCCCACACAGCACAGCCAGGTCCTGGGGACAGGCAACCCCCAGATATTTCCTTTCCTCCGACACTGGGCAGGGCCTCTCCCTGCAGCACCGGTCCAGCTAGAGAAACCACAGGTGTACACATGTATTTGGGGACTATTTGGAATTTAGTGTCCTAAATTCCCCCAGGCAAAGTAAGACCCCTGTGACTCCCAGCTAAGAGGATCCCTTGTGCCACTGTTGTACCTCATTACCTTCACACACCATCTCCAGGTTCCATGCAAACAGACCCCTGTGCAAGCTGACCCCATGAACACCCATGGACCTTGGTGGTATCTCCTGACCAGAGACTTCTCTGTGATGTAAAGCAACCAGAGCCTGCAAATGGTACCTGAAAACCATTCCCTGTCACCCCTTATCTTGGGAACTCCCAGGAAACAAGCGATAGAACAAGAGGAAGTGGCCTCAAGTTTTGCCAGGGGAGGTTTAGATTGGATATTGTGAAAAATTTCTTCATGGAAAGGGTTGTCAATCCCTGGCACAGGCTGCCCAGAGCAGTGGTGGAGTCTGATGTGTAGTGGTACTTGGGGACATGGGTTAGTGGTGGCCTTGGCAGCACTGGGTGAGTGGTTGGACTCGATCTTAGAGGGCTTTTCCAACCCAAACGATCGGTGGTTCTGTGTGACACGTGGCTACTGCAAGGGCCACCTTTGCCCTCACATCCTCTCTCTGCTCCTTGGATTGCCCAGAGAAAAAAAACCCAACAAAATTCTTGTGTTCTCGAGATTCAGTTCACATCTAAAAGCTGCTCATGTGAGTGGTAAGTGGATCTAAAGGACCTCTGGCGGTAGCAGTGACTTCTCATGACCTGGGTATTTCACTGGGACATTGGAGGCATCACAGAATCACAGAATGGTTTGTGTTGGAAGGGACCTTAAAGCCCATCTTGTTCTACCCCCTGCCATGGGCAGGGACACCTTCCACCAGCCCAGGTTACTCAAAGCTCCATCCAACCTGGCCTTGGACACTTCCAGGGATGGGCATCCACAGCTTCTCTGGGCAACCTGTGCCAGGGCCTCCCCACCCTCACAGGGAAGAATTTCTTCCTAGTACATTTTCCTGTATATTTTCCTACATCCTCTTGGAGTGACACAGGCATGTGACAAGTCTTCTCAGGGAGAAAGCATCTGAACCGTTTCCAAAGTACTTATAGTGACATGGCTAACGTTGGAGTCTCTCCCTGAGTGATTTCTTGTGCTGGGAGATTACATGGAAACTTGAGTGGTTTAGGTCAAAACTGAGGCAGAAGATCAGAAGGAAACATTGCTAGTGTGGACAGGGTTTAGTGGAGTCTGGAAAGGTTGTTCCTAGAAAACCCTGCTGTGTTTGGGGGCTTCCTGCAGTGAGTGGCTTTGTGACCTGTGATGGAGGGAAGGCAAAGCCAGGATTCAGCTGTTCCCTGCCTGCTGCCAAATCTGCAGAACCTCCCGGTCCTGGCCGGGAACACACACTGGGGCCAGCCAGGGAGCACAGGTGAGTGAAGGCTCTGGGCTTCATCGAGATGGGGGACCTCCCTACCACTGCTCAGGCCTTCAGAAAGGGCTGGAACCACCTCAGCCCACTCCTGTGCTCCTGTGCTTCCTCCTGTGCTTCCCTTCAGAGGAGTGAATGCCATGGCTGTGTTGGGCTGAAGGCTGCAGGATTCCCAAGGGACTGGATCTGATGGCTGGACTCTGTCTGCTGAAGACAAGAGACACCACAGAGGTGCTCACACTGGCCTGGTTCAGGTGCTGAACTCAGTTCAGCCCCTGTAAGGCTGAAGGTCCCGCCCGAGGCCAAAGAAGCTTCTGCCTGACTAGCAGCTGACTTCTGGGGTACAACAACTAATCCACAGGTCTTCAACCCCCTTCTCAGGGGAATAAAAAGGAATCAATACTCTCAGAGCAAAATAAACCTGTATTTGCCTCTTTCTTCCCTCCCCCCCCCCAAAAAAAGGGTCATAGTTCATCAAACAGAGCTGTTCCAGAGCTGCTGTTTGGAGGATTCTCGTGTCTTCTGAACGGTGGCACTGACAATGCCAGGGACCAGCACTGGCCTGGAAAACCTCTTGTTCCTAAAATATTCACATTGAGAAATGGACAGTTGGAAATTCTGGTAAGGACTGTGCACTCCATTTTAAGATGTGGAGCACACAGTTATGGTAGAACACGGAGGTATGTTTGCTTCCTTCGTGGTGCTGCCTCTCAACCTGGCACCTGAGCACCTTCTGTATAAATTCACAAGTATTACCAGTGCTCTTCATGGGTTTCATCAACTCTGGTATTTCCTCATTTCCACAATAATCAGGATTTCATGAATGGAATAAATGCACAAGAACTCAGAGCTGCAAGATGGAGGCAGGAGCAAAATTTCTTCATTGACTTTAATTTGGAATGAGCAGCAGCCGAGTTCAGAGGGATTTACATATGACATCCATATGAGCACCACAGGAATTCAGTTTGATTAATACTACAATGGAAACGAGCTGCAGAAATGGTTTGCCATTTATTCTGAAGTGTTGCCAGAAGAGCTCAGCACATTTGCAGCCTGGTTTGGGCCAGCTCTCAGAGAGTGCCGGGGTGATGGATGGCCGGGAGGGAACAGCCCCAAAGGGGCACCGGTACCCAGTGCCCGCTGAAGGAGAGAATACAAGGCAGGGGAATATAAGGCAGTGACTGGGAAGAAAACCTCCTGGGCTGTCCTTCTGCCCTCCCTGTGCCTCCCACATTATTGCCTGCCAACACCCGTCACCAAACACCCTCCTAGGCTGGTTCCCACTATTTGCAATGTTCCCATTGATGAACTGTGTTTTCTGCCGCAAATTGATCCTCAGTCTGGCATGGATGACATAAATATAAACCATATTCGGCTTGAAAGAAAGAAAGAAAAAGCCTAATGTCCCCTGGTCTGTGACTTTCTTATCCTGAATCTGATACTTAATAAAAAGGTGAGTAATAGGGCATCAGGAAGATCTAGAGGAACATGTGCACCCAGTATTCCTGCCTCTCTCATCCATATGTTCTGCGACCTGACATCTCCCTTGGAGACGAGACATGGGAGTCTTTTCCCCATGCCTTGAAAGGTTATTTACAGAGATTAAAGCCCCGACAAGCAGCAGATCACCTTGCAGGACCTCCCATACGTTTCCTTTCCCAAAGCAGTCTCATATTGAGACCAGCTGTTGAATTTACCAGGGTCTGTCTGCCCCAGAGAGTCTATTTTTGTAGTGAAGACTTCGTGGCCTGAAAAATCACCTTTGTGAATACCAGTGCAGTGAATTTTGGTAGTGGGAAATTGCCTGGCCCCATGCCCCAAATGAGCAATCACAATTGCAGAGTGACCCACTGCGTGAAGGCTGCCCACTGCAAACCCATATGAGCCCCCCTTCCACCTCCTTGTTAGGCAAAAGAACACATTTTCTCATTATAACACGTCTCTCCTTCTATTTCTCATGGCTCTTTTCAGCTGTTTCTGTCTTTTCCACATGCCGGGTGGACACCGAGTCTGGGTGCAAAGTGCCAAGGTGTCACCGTGCCATGTCCAGGGCTCACTCCCTTCCCCTCCCCTGCCTGGTTCAACATACCCCTTTCTGTCAGTAAATGCACCCAAATTTAAGCCAAAACCCCTCTGTAAAGAATCACTCTTGCAGTTCAGATCTGCTTTGCTCACCCTGAACTTCTTCCCAGAGTTGCTGCTTTCTTGATCCCACCCCTCCTTTGCCATTAGCGCCCCGTCAAGCTTGGGTACATATTTATATTTCTGTTATTCTAATATGAAATGATTATATAATTATTACTTAATATCAAAACTCAACCCATAATTATCTGATTTCAGGCTGACTCAGCAGTTGACTGGTATTTCCAAAGCCTGCTATATTCTTCTGTCAACAGTTTAAGGATGCTTCTGTTTGGGTTATCCAGGTTTAGGTGTAAAAAATCAGTTTATTTTGAGTATATATTGTTTAAAGTTCTTGGCTAATAACAGTCCTGCAAGTACTTCATCAGCCTTATGAAAAAAGATCCGTGTTCTCTCCAAAGGCAGAATTTAGGAAGTTATTGAACACTTGATTTGTTGCCGCTGTTAATAAATTTCGTGTGTCTATTAATAGACTCATATGGGTTTGAATTCCCTTTGTTCCCAGCGTCTTCTAAACATTTCCTACTGATGCTCTTTGATCCTGCCAGCCACGAATCCTTCCTCTAATAGCTCGTTTCTTCTGTTCGTACCCTTCACAAATTACTGCACGTCTTAATCCACGCCGACCCCTCGTCCTCCCGTAGGGATTCACGACTCAAGAGCCCTCTT